TTTGGCGTTCGGCTTTAAGTGCCAGCTGCCACTAACTTTGCTGAATGTTTGGCACTTGGCTTAAACGCCTCTTGCCGCTTGGCTTTATTTTTTGAGCAAGTGTTTGGCGTTCTGCATTAAGTGCTAACTGCCACTAACTTTGCTGAATGCCTGGCGCTCGGCTTGAACGCCTCTTGCCACTTGGCTTTATTTTTTGAGCAAGTGTTTGGCGTTCGGCTTTAAGTGCCAGCTGCCACTAACTTTGCTGAATGCCTGGCGCTTGGCTTGAAAGCCTCTTGCCAATTGGCTTTATTTTTTGAGCAAGTGTTTGGCGTTCGGCTTTAAGTGCCAGCTGCCACTAACTTTGCTGAATGCCTGGCGCTCGGCTTGAACGCCTCTTGCCACTTGGCTTTATTTTTTGAGCAAGTGTTTGGCATTCGGCATTAAGTGCCAGCTGCCACTAACTTTGCTGAATGCCTGGCACTCGGCTTGAGCGCCTCTTGCCACTTGGCTTTATTTTTTGAGCAAGTGTTTGGCGTTCGGCTTTAAGTGCCAGCTGCCATTAACTTTGCTGAATGCCTGGCGCTCGGCTTGAACGCCTCTTGCCACTTGGCTTTATTTTTTGAGCAAGTTTTTGGCGTTCGGCATTAAGTGCCAGCTGCCACTAACTTTGCTAAATGGGAAGAGTGTCAATTAAATTTTTAACAAAGAAGAGACTTTTTATAAAGCTTGGAAATTTCGTACACTTGAAAGCATGCAATTTAGAGCGTACATATTGCTTGAAATTAAACTGTACTTTTACTGGTAGTACCTTTTCAGAGACGTAGCATTCCATAGCTTATTGACCACCCTTCCTGTCATAGTTTCTAGGATGTATGCCCCCTTCCCTATGACCTCTGCTATTCTGTATAGACCTTCCCATGGGGAGAACATCTTTTTGACTATTCCCACCTTCCTTTTCAAAACCAGATCGCCAAGAGTGAAATCCCTGTGCCTCACCTTCTTGTTATGGCTATTCACAAGCTTCTGTTGATAAGAGGCAAGCCTCACTGCAGCTGCATCCCTTTTTTCCTCCAGCCAATCAAGATTGAACCTCAGCATTCTATCATTCTGCTCTTGATCCCACGCCAAGCTCCTTATAGTTGGAACCAAGTGCTCGACTGGTATCACCGCCTCGGTGCCATAGGCCATAGCGAATGGGCTCTCTCCAGTTGGCCGTCTTGGGGTTATTCTGTAAGCCCACAAGATGTTCGATAGCTCATCTAACCATTTGCCTTTTTCATTCTCCAGCTTTTTCTTAATACAAGCAAATATTGTCCTGTTTGTGATTTCGGCTTGACGATTAGCCTGGGGATGACTGATTGCTGCTAACTTCTGGTTGATTCCATATTCTTCCAGCAGCTCTTTCACTTGCTTGCTATCAAGGTTGGTTCCATTGTCCATCATGATTGACCTTGGTATGCCAAAATGACAGATAATATTATTCCAGATGAAGCGTCTTACTTGAGTTTGGGTGACACTAGGGTACGGTTCTGCTTCTACCCATTTGGTGAAGTAATCAGTTGCTAGCAGAACGTACTTATTCTGTAATCTTGCAGTCGGCAAAGGGCCAACCACGTCCATCCCCCACTACGCGAAAGGCCATGGGGTGGCCATTACGTGCAGGTCTTCAGGTGGTTGATGTATCAATGACCCGAACCTCTGGCATTTATCGCATCTTCTAGAGAATTCTTCTGCATCTCGTGCCATATTTGGCCAGAAGTACCCCTGTGTCATTGCTTTGTGTGCTAAAGATCTTCCTCCCGAATGATTTCCACATACTCCCTCGTGAATGGTTCGCATAATCTGTCTAGCTTCTACTGGGGTAGCACATTTCAAATATGGACCCGAGAAGGAGCGTCTATACAACTGATCACGTACAATGGCATACTTTGCCGCGTTGGACCTAATTTTTCTTGCCTCGTCCTTATGCTCGGGGAGTGCACCATTACGTATGTAAGCCATGATTGGATCAATCCAGCTCGGCTCATATGGTATAACATTAACATGTTGAGTGCTCGGATTAGGCAGCTCTTCAAAAATGGAAGGTTGGATCAGTATGTCGATCGGGATGACCCTAGCCAAAGTATCTCCAGAATTGGATGCACTACAAGCCAAGCGGTCAGCATCTTCGTTATACTCTCTCGGCAATTGGATAAACCTGATCTGATCAAAGCCTTTCGCCTCACGCAGAACCGCAGTTCGGTATGCTTCCATGGTCTTATCCTTGGCCCCATAGTCCCCATTGACTTGTCAAATGACTAGTTGTGAATCACTATAAGCAATCAGATTCTTCATCTTCAGTTCTTTAGCCAACTTCAGCCCAGCTATCAACGCCTCGTATTCTGCCTCATTGTTGGTTGCGTTGAACTCTAGTCTTATCGCTTGGCTCAGCGTAGTTCCTTCTGGTGTTTGCAATTGAATTCCAATCCTGGCCCCCATTTGATTCGAGGAGCCGTCCACGAAGAGCTTCCACCAGGAACAATTATAATCCTCCACCACATCTTCAGTATCACATTCAAATAGGAAATTCGCCACCACTTGACCTTTGATTGCCGTCCTGGGCTCGTATGCAATATCAAATGAACTCAATTCAATGGCCCACTTGGTCATTCTCCCCGATAAGTCCAGTTTGTGCAGGATCATTCTCAAAGGGAAAGTTGTTAAAACGACGATTGGATGAGATTCAAAATAATGTCTAAGCTTCCTTTTTGCGTTGACCAGCGACAAGATCATTCGTTCGGCCCTAGAGTACCTTCTTTCCGGTTCAGACATTGTTTTGTTAACATAAAACACCAGGAACTGCTTGCCCTCTTTGCAACGGATCAGAACGGCACTAGTTGTTACACTGGATACCCTAAGATACAAAAAGAGTTTCTCATTCGGTTCTGGAGTAGACAGAACCGGAGGATTGCGCATGTACTCCTTCAGGCTGGTTAGCGCCTGTCGTTGCTCATCCCCCCAGGTTTGCCTTCCGTGCCCTCGAATTGTATCAAAGAAAGGTTTACAGAGGTCCGAAAGCTTGGAAATAAATCGGCTCAGTGTAGTTATCCGGCCTGTGAGTGCCTGCACCTCCTTAATTGTCTTTGGCTCTGCATTTCTGATCAAGGCTTCTGCCTGCGCTGGGCTGGCCTCAATTCCTCTATGATTGACCACATGTCCCAAGAATTGATCGGAGCTTACGCCGAATAAGCATTTGGCCGGATTAAGCTTCATCCCATACTAGCGCAACACACCGAACACATCTTGCAGGTGCGCTAAATGATCGCTCCTCTTTTTACTCTTGACCACCATATCATCAATATAAGCCTCGATAGTGCTTCCCATTTGGCCCTTAAAAATCTTGCTGATCAGCCTCTGATAAGTAGCTCCAGCGTTTTTTAATCCGAACGGCATGACTTTGTAGCAATAAGTTCCTCGTTCAGTAATAAATGAAGTTTTCTCTTCATCAACTGGGTCCATGGGAATTTGATTATAACCAGAATAAGCATCCAGGAAGGTTAACCGCTCATATCCTGTGGTGGCATCTACCATTTGATCAATCCTGGGCAATGGGAAACTATCCTTTAGGCAGGCTTTATTCAGGTTAGTGAAGTCGATGTATACTCTCTATTTCCCATTCTTCTTCTGCACTACAACAACGTTAGAGAGCCAGGCCGGGTACTGAACTTCTCTGATGAATCCGGCTTCAAACAGCCGATCAACCTCCTCAGCTATAATCTAATTTCGTTCTGGAGCAAATCTTCTTTGTTTCTGCTTCACTGGCTTTGCATTCGGATCCACATTGAGGGAATGACAGGATACAGCAGGATTTATCCCTGGCATATCTGAATGGCTCCATGCGAATACATCCGCATTCCGAGTCAAGAAATTAGTCAACTTTAGTTTCTCTTCTTCAGTGAGTCTGGTTCCCACCCTTGTTGTTCGGTCTGGTTTCTCATGGTCAATCTTCACTTCATAAAGGGGTTCTGTGGTCAGAACTGGTGGCTCCTCCTCCCCATCCCTGCTGGGAGGAGGGTTCTGTAATTGCTATTTTGGACTGGTTGAACGGATGAGATTTTTTCCTTTTCCAGCAGATTTCAAAGTTACTGAATAACATTCTTTAGCTGCAACCTGGTCCCCGTGAATATCTATTACCTTGGTCCCATCCAGACCCAAACATCGCATCACTTGATACAAGGTTGACGGGATGCCCTGAACTCTGTGAATCCATCCTCTGCCCATTAAGAGGTTGTAGGATGGATGAATTTCCACGACCACAAAACTTTCAGTCAAAACTCGCTTAGTAGCTTGTACTGTCAATTCCACCATTCCAATGGGTTCCACTCGCTTCCCATCAAATCCGAGCAACAGATTTCTTGTGGGTTTGAGTTTTACGGGTTCGATCTCCAGTCGGTCGAACGTCACCCTGGGCATGACATTCGCACTACTTCCTGGATCAATCAGGACTTTCTGAACCAGGCATTCTGTAACTGTCAGACTGATGACTAGTGGATCTTCATGAGGAATCTGAACGCGTCCGTTTTATCAAACTTTATCGATGTGGACGCGTTCTGCTGGTGCAAAACATGCACACTGCCAATTCTTCTTTTCAGCTGGGCCTGGTGTAACCTCGTTCTGAGCAACTCTTCTGACTCCGTCGTTTGTTCAGGCCGGCCATGAATTGCGTTTATAATCTGGACGGGCTGAGAGTTGTGTTGGTTTAACCTCTGGTTCCGCTTGATTTACTCAGTCGGGCGGTTCTGCTCTTGCATCGGACCTTGAACATAGCTTGCAAATTCCCCCTTTGCGATTAGCATCTCTACCTGCCTCCTTAGGTTCCTGCATTCGTTAGTCTGATGTCCAAAATTACTATGGAAAGCACAATATTTAGTCTGATCCCTCTGTTTAAGAGGTTGCCTGATTGGCAGAGGAGGACGAAACTTATCTTTGTTCTCTTGATATAGCCTTGCTAAGGTGACTCTGAGTGGAGTGACTGATTCCTACTCCCTGGGCCTCTTCTCCGCCTTCCATGAGGGGTGATGTTGCGGTTGAGCTTGTTTTTGCCGGATCTTGGCTTTGGACTTCTCCTCCGTCGAAATAATTGACGTCTTCCTCGAATTAGCTGCTTCTTCCTCCTCAAGACGAACAAAACCGTCAGCTCTCTCGTTCAGCTCGTCCATTGTCTTTGGTGTATTAACCACCAAGCTGGTGTGGAACGGCATCCCCCGGTTCATTGCGAGTTTAAATGCTTGGACTGCTGTGGACGGGTGACACTCCATTACCATGCTTTTAACGAGGTTGAACCGGGTGAGAAAAGCTTGGAGCCGTTCATCCTTATGCTGCTTCATTATGAAAAGGCTTGATACATCCTTAGCCAGACGTTTATTCCCATAGTACTGGCTTATGAACTTATCGCATAAGTCTTGGAAACTGGCAATTGAGCCTTGAGCCAGATTTTTGAACCAATTGAGAGCTGGCCCAGCCAAGCTCGTAGGGAAACATTTGCACATCAAAGGATCATTATTAGTATTCAAAGCCATTTTCAACTGAATATGGTATATGTGATCGACCGGATCGGTTGTTCCGTCAAACAGAATGAAGATCGGCATGGAAAACTTCTTTGGATTCGGCGCGTTCATAATTTCATCAGTGAACGGCGATGCGACCATCCTTGTTGATGAACGCAATGTTTCATTTTCCCTTGAAAACCGTGACGAAAATCCCCGATCGGCAGATCTCCTTTCTGAGCTATGGTAATCAACTATTGCTAATGAAGGTCAGTATGGCGGATCGAACGACCTGTCCTCCGCAAACTCACTTCGCCATGGTGACGCAATTCTATGTTCATATGCCGGTGCTTCCTCCCTCATAATCCGTTCGTGATGCATTTCCAGACAAACAGATCCTTCTTGATCTTCTACTCGACGGACATTCGGAGGCAGATTACCGATTATAACTTCATCACGACGTGGACCACCACGATTGACATCTTCTGGATCACCTTGACGATCAGCTTCGGACGGTAAAGCTCCCTCTCCTTCAGGAGGTGGCCTCGGAATTACAGGAGCCTCACGACACTCCATTCCAGCTCGTAGCTCTGCATTTTCTTTCCTCAAAGCATCGATCATGTTCATCAGCTCATCGAGCTTCGTTTGCTGGCCGTTCTCCAAAGGATTCGAGTTCGCCTCTCCGATTATCATTCCAGATTGGAGCAAAGTCATCAACTGCAGACTTCTTGACCAAATCGGAGTTCCGCTAACGCGCGCACACCAGATCTGAACTTACACTTGCTAAATTTAGTCCGCTACTGGCCGGATTCAGTAATCACAACAGATCACAATTGCGCAGTATGCCGGATCAAGCACAGATCTGATCTGATTGGATCGGACGCCAATTTTCCGAAATCAATCGGAGCCTGGACTCGTCAAGATAGATCGTATTATCACCAATGTTGATTCAGCTTTCGCAGATTAATCGTCTTCCTCGTAGAGTGCGTTGAATCGATCCGATCTGGAATGACATCAATCAATCCTTCCTGTTCTTCCCACAGACGATGCCAATTAAAAGTACAAAGAATTTCCCTTTTTTACAGAGAGAGAATTTCTTCACTCCCAATACTCTCTCACCCATTTTCCTTCTCGATTTCCCTTATTTATAGATGGTTACAACCTCCTTTGGCCTGGGCCTTATCTGCTTCCCTTTGCCTGGACTCAACTTCCCTCATTTTAACATGGGCTTCTGAAATGACTTTATGGACCTGGGCCCATCCCGCATGAACTTGCTCTATCCCGTTTGTCCACACCCGACCCGTGATAAGCGCCGAATATTGTATGTTCAAGCGCCCTAAATTACATTAACAAAGTCCAATTATTAATTATTTTATGTAGATTAACTCCATTTGCATGTTTTTATGCATTTTCAGGTTAAAGTGCAAAAAGGAAGCAAAAATGATGCCTTGTGGAATTTTGAGCAAAAAGGATGCCATTTCTGAATTTCTGGCAGCAGTGATCCTGACTTTTGTCGCCATTTTCGACCTAGCAAACTCAAGAACTAGACTTCCATCATAACATGAAAGATTTAGATCTCTGAATCAGCTTTCCAAATCTTCAAGTGGTTCATCATTCGGAGTTCGGAGCAGAGAGTTATGATCTTCGTAACAGAGGTGCGTAGAACTGCCTGGCAGCACTGAAGTACTGCCTTTCTCCCCATTTTCGACCAACCAGACTTGAGAATTGGGTCTTCATCAAAGCATGAAGTTTTTAAAACACTGAATCAGCTCTCTAAATCTTCAAACAGATCATCATTCGGAGTTCGGGGCACAAAGTTATAGCAGTTTTCCCAAAATAGGTCAGCGCTGAGCAAGAGGAACATGTTGCACATTGCACTAAGTTAGAGTGCTCGAGATCACTTTTCGAGTGCACGAAAATCAGGCAGATTGCACTCGGAAATGGCTCAATTTCAGCCACTTGCACATTGGTTTCCTCAATGCCATCTTCCTTCTTTATGAAGTGGTTGGAGGTGTTCCTTGGAGGAGAGAGAGGGTGTGTTGGAGAATAAAAAGCTACCCAAGGGCCACACATTATTTATCTTTGATTTTTGCAAGATAGAGGAGGGAGAAGAGAGCAAGAAAGGAAGGTGTTCTTGAAGCTAACAAAGGGGAGCTCGAAAATTGGAGATGGAGTTCAAGCTTCTTCTTCATTCTAAGGCTCCAATGGGTAACTAACTCCTCTTCTAGGGAGGTGATGAAACCCCTCCCTTGTAAGCATGTGTTAGTATAGTTTATTTTTGGGGATTACAATGTATTTTTGATAGTCTTTCCATGGTCAAGAGCCTCATTTTTGTTGTAATGAATGTTGAATGTTTATAAATGATTATTGTGAGTTATTCATCTTGTCTTGGATGGTTACTTTTCGTAATCATATTGCTTGCACTTCCATGGTGACAATGGAAGTTAGATCATGGAATGGTTTCAATGGCATGGAGTTAGAGAACCTAGATAGTTCATGGCTTAGGGTTTCCCTTTGATGGTCTATACTTGATTCTTTGCTTTATGTGCATCACCATTTAAATTAGGGCTTGATAATCCTTGACTTAGTAAGCATGTTCTAAGCTACATTTTAGTTTAGGTAGTTGATCATGTGAACCTTTGATGGTTTATTCTTGCCTTCCTATTTAAATGAACTCCTTGAGGATATTATAGCAACCTAGTATTGTTATGTATCATGACTATCATATATGTTGTTTTTCCCTTAAATTATTCTTAACCTAGCATGTGTATAGGGATGGAGGTGGATTCATTTCCCTAGCCTTCTTTACTTGTACTTCACTCCCTTGAATTCTTGCAATTTATTGTTTTATGCACTTTTAATTTCCTAGCTTAAGTGACATCCAACAAACCTCTATAAACCCCTTATCATTCTAAGAACAATTCTAGACACTTAGGTTGCCATAGACTAGCGCAGTCCCAGTGGTTCGACTTACCCGACCAATAGCCCTATTTTACAATGATTCGTGCTATTGCGAAGGTTGATGTATAGTTGATCAACCGATCAACCCGTCCTCTGCAATGCGGATCACACCAAGCCCGGGTCATTTTTGTGTCCTCAAACACCAATTAAGCTTTTTTAAAACCTAAATCCAGAATTAAATTTCTATTCAGCTCTTTTCTCATAATAGGTTTTAAAAATTCTATTATGTAGTTATTTTATCTATAGATTCTCTCTCATTGTGTCATATTTACTCACTGTTAATGACAAATTTTAGGTTTTGTACCCAAATTCCAAAGTTTCTCATTCTTACGTTTGAAGTTTGTTCAACTTTTTGTTTTAGCTCATGCTTGTTGATTTGAGGAATTATATAGTTAATCGTATCGGATTAATGGATTGGATATCCAATAAGTTAAGTAACGGATATGGATTCATTATATAAGAATTCGTCAGATTGGATCGAAATCTTTATTATGCTGATTGGATTCGGATCGAATCAACTATGATCCGGTCCAAATCCGATCCGTTTTAGGAGATGTGTTTTAGGCATGCTCCACTGAGCCGTCGTGTTCACTCTATTATTATTAAGCATTTTTAGTTGATAAACGAAGTAATGAATGGATCATTTCCACAAAGTTTAGAGGAGGACGGATCTGATTCTTGGGACTTGTTTTGATGTTTTTAGGATTTGCTCAATAATTTTCCTTTTAAATTTGTAAATTTATTTTCAGTGTAATTTATGTAAAAGTGGAGATAAAGATCACAAGATGAGCATTGTAATGTTATTATGTTATTTTGGTTATGATTATGATTTGTGTGTATCTTTAACTAATGAAGTGCAAAGGGTTAGACTTGACATAGTGTTTCTAAATAATGTAATGCATATTATATATATCCATATCCATCTATTTGGGGAAAGCTTTGGCACAAGGTTGAACTTTAGGATAATCTTCCTAGCTCATTCATAGCTCATAATAACCAAACCGACCATTTATGGGCATTCCGAGATCATTTGAGTGCATTTGAACACCCTACGATTGATCGGACTCTTGGAAATTAAATTTTGAGGCATGAAATTCATTTTTGGGTAGAATTTTGGCTTTTGGACGACCGTTCGCCCCTCCCCTACAACCGGTCGCAACCACTGTTCATGCATTGGACAATTTTGTCATCCGAACTTTCAACAGTCATAACTTATTCATTTTAAATCCAAATGGGGTAGAGCTCAAATTAAAGGGATTTTGAGTTAGATTTACAATGATACCAATCCCATTTTCAGATTCCCATCCTACTATGAGATATTTATATTTTAGTGAGACAATGTCAGGAAATCTCTTAAACTTAGTAGGGGTATTTTTAGGAAACATGACTTATGTCCTTAGAACCTATTAGAATGTTATGCAATAATCGTGATGGATTTAATGGACCTCATTTGACTTGTATTGGATCAAGTTATCCACCTCCCTTGTATAAAATGACTATTTTATCCCTAGTGAGCCCTTGGGTTCTGGCAAGGACCCAGACTTGCTTTCATCGTCGATTAATGACTCATCATCCGAGGTCAGGTTGTTACATTGACGAAGTCTTTGTCACCGAGGACGCGATCTGACCAGAGTGTGTAGATTAGGAAAAGGTCGAGGTTGTGCAACATTGACTCAGTAATAGAGAAATTCATAAGGTGGTTCCACTTGGGGTTTGTTCCACTACGCTTGTCGACATTGGTCAGTTTCCAGATGTCGAAGACCAATGCCACCATGTAAAGTCTATCTTGGTCATAAGATTCACATCATTGAGGCTTTTGACGGAGATAATTGTGATGTATAAACTGTGGCACCCCATGAATGTGTTATACGATTGAGAGCAATTGAAGAGTCAAGGTTGTGTGTATGGGAACTGAAAAAACGATGATATAATTTTTGTGTGGATTTCACGACTTTATATACAATGTGGTAAGTGTACATATAGAAGAGGGTTTCTTGTAATATATGTAAGAAAAATGAACAATCCTTCAAAAATTTAAAATT